AAAGATTTAACTAAGAAAACACAAAAAAAGGTTAAAATGAGATGATAATAATTTCATTTCTTCAAAAGTAACGAACGCGACGTTGACCTCATCTTTTGCAGTTTTCGACGGAAGCTTTTTCATTTTATGGTGGATGAATTACTGTGATTCGGTCAATTAACCCTTTATGGGCCGAATTTTTGTTCATTATTATAACAAAATCTATGCAGTACAAAATTAATAGATATAATAAATAGAAATAATTCTCTTGGCTTGTAGAAGAAAGATATAAACAATATGAATATTAAATATTATATACATATCTACAATTCATAAAACAACTAACACAATTTATCAACATACAAAAAATCACCAAACAAAAAAGACCAATCCCACGAATATTCCTATATACTCAGAAATTTTCAAACTAGCTCCCCAAAATGTCGGCCTCTGACGAGGAAGCGTTTCCTAATCAGTCCGTAATTCCCCCGGCGCCATGGGTGTTTTCGAAACGAATTTGGCGGCGTTGTTTTTCTAAAAGACTACGACTGTCTAATCCTCGAAACGAATTTCGACCTGGTTGCTCCTTTGAGGCGCTCGCAACTGACCTAGCCAACTCAACGAGCGTTTTAATCAGAGAAAGGGTTAACAAGTTTTGCGTTCGGACCGTAGAGCGGTGGCAAAATCTTTCGATACGGTGTCAGGTGGCTGGAATCGTAATCCCGCTAAGGGTGCTGGCTCTTGACACCATAAGGGCAGCGAGGTGTGTGGAGGTGTCACAAGATTTCCAGTGATCTGCTCGCCCTCGTGCCCTGGAACGAATCGTCCTTCCCTTCAGGACCTTGTCCTTCACCCTCCAGTTACGCCTCGTTATCCAACAATACCCAGCGGTAATGAGGATATAATTTTTCTCGAAGAATCGCCGGCTACGTGCAACTTCAATCCTGAAACTGGCTTTCCTTCGCGGCCTCTTAACACATTGGACGCCGGCTAAATTTCAGCTACTAAAAACGCTAACGTCGATGATTATATTGGTACATTTTTAAACATCGATCGAACCAAAATTTCTAACTTACGGAAGAGAATAAGGAATTCGATTTTGTAAATTTTACTTTGGATTTGTGTTATACGTGTCTAGAATGTTACGTGAACGTAGGATTAGCAATTAAACGATAGACTAAAAAAAGCTCGTAATTATGTTTCATTTGATTAATGCTTCGTAACACCGGAAATACCGGATGGGTCAAGTCCACTGACTTTGGAATGTTTATTTTGCAAGTATTTCAATTACGAAGGCGATTCTCCGAAAGATTTTTAAGTAAATTTGTGTTTGTACTGATGGAAAATTAGGAGATTCATTGATTCTGACGAAACATTGTTTTAATTTGTGCAAAAGAAATTGGAGATAAGTCACTCTGATTGATGGTGGATAATACAAAATTAGGAGATTCGTCGAATATTAAGAAACATTGTTTTAATTTGTGCAAAAGAAATTGGAGATAAGGTAGTTTTAATGTTATATGTTTAATGTAAAAAACACTTTGGTTAAGTCGATTTCTTGATATTTTCTGATGTTTGTAAACTTCAATGGGACAAACAATATTCATTCTATTTAAAGTTTCTTATACAATAGGTTACAATTATATAAGAACCGTTTCTCTATTTTAAGAAGGAAAAAATAAAAAGGTTCGTCGAATTCCTAGGATGATTTGGACTGATCGTGAGCTACACGCTCCATCATTGGGCGTGACCAGAAATGGTCAAGTTTTCGGAATCGTATCCGATATCCATTACCGGTCAAATTCGCGCCGCTTGTGATCTTTCACGGCCGATTCGGTGGACGGTTAGAAACAGTGATCTTCACGGACACACTTATTTCTCGGTGCGTTTCCCAGTTTTCGTTTTCCAGGTAATCGGTTGCAACAGTTCATTGTTTTCATATTTAGTTATTTAACACTAGATCTACCGAGCATTTAATACAAGCAAACAACTATTCTGCTGTTACCAATGTATTATCTTCAAATGAAATTTCCACCTGAAGTAGAATAGAAAATTTTGTTGTATTTCTTACAAATTGTCGATAGTAAAATATTACACGAGCTCAGTAACAAAAGTAAATAGTACGCCAAGGGGTTGAAATATCTAATCTTATTCCTGGTGTAATATTGGAGCCTACAGAGTTCAAAGGGTTAAAAGAAAACCGCGTTTCTAGGGATGATTTTGAAACTAAAAGTGTGTGGCAAGGGGTTAATACTGTCATTTCACGTGAAAGCTGGCTTTTAGTTAGAAAATGGAAGACACGAGCATCACGTGGAACGGTTAACGAGGTCTATTGTTAGGCGCGTGCCGCTGTCCGCCCAGATATCTCGAAACAAACATTTTCCCTGTGACCTTGCCAATTTGACGCGTGGAAAAGGGTTACCGATCGCTGTCACCCCTTTCTTTCGTTCGGTCATCACTCAACGCGCGCTTTCGGACTGAAATATTTGAAGTTTCGATACCATCAGGAACACCCATCCGAATAATGAGATTTTTAACTATTTTCGGAAATAGTCAACGCCCCTTTTGGAAAGATGAAAAGGGATTACAATAATTGCTAGCAAATTGTCTATTTACCTAATACATCTATTAAAAGAGCGATTCTAGTATTAACCCCTTGCCCTATGATTTCTTAACACTTCTGAAATTTTAACTTATAATTTTCCAAGGTTAGTTTTGTATTCCGAATTGACTTCTCGACTTTTTCAATAATGATTATATAATTAACTATAGAAAACGTCCCAGATTCCATTGAGGAAAAGTAGACTGAGAAAGTAATTTGCACTCGAAAGGTGACTCTCAGTCACCACTTGATTTGATACAGAAAAACTATGAAGTTGAATATTTAGTATTTTAAATTAAATTTTGTATTGCAATATGAAATATTTAAATAAAATAGCTTTGTTGCTTAATTTATCTGTGAAAGATTGTTAAATTAGTTTCAAACAATATCGTATTTAAGAGTAGTAACGCTAAATAGTTAATAATTCCTTATTTTCTTCGCTACAAAGGAATGACTACGAAAAAACGGTCAAGATTTTCATGTTTAACGTGTTAACTATGACAAACAATTATTTTCTCGTTAATAATTTATTAGAAAAAAAGTGTAAGTTAACAGTGAGTGAATTTCATAGTTACAGGGTATAGAAGATACTGCTTTCGTTATTGTAGTCAGTGGACAATGCTTTATTTACAATACTTTACAAAGTTACATTAGCATCAACGTTTCAGGATGTCACAATCGAATGAATTGCAAGTAAATACAGTATCCCGTAAATTCTTCTTTGGCCTCGTGTCTTACTGTATTAATGGACGGAATAAATTAACTACGTGTCAGCTTCGTGGCTTAATTCAAAGAAAATCCTGACTAGTTACACCTCCTTACATAGTAAGCATGAATTACAGTTAAGTACGACGTGTTATTTAAACATTTACAATAGTCTCGTGAAATACAGCGTTCCAGGTAAAAGAAAGCTTCGCTTGTTTTAAATGTTAATAATCGTTATAATAATAATGGCACTAAACTCTTTACATCGTCGCTACGTGGTTAATTATTCTAAAAGAAATATCTAAACACGCTTTAAATATATCTTTGTAAACGGTATACATGTGTATGTATAGTAAATGAAAAATACTAAATTATTTAAAAATGGTTCTATTTACTCTAATTAAATCTAAAGTCCTCATTACCGAGCGTTCCGTTAATCTTTGGATCGTAAATCATTTTCGGTTGTTCCATTATGTACAGTTTACAGTTTTAAGTAACAACGACTACAAATTTACACGTAATTCTATGTTCATTTTAATTCACGCACACAGACACAGACACGATACAAACATGCAGAAAATAAATAGAAAACAAGGTTTTTGCAGAATAAAGATAATAAGATCGTTTACAGTGCAGTATTTTGATTTGAATTTTTGAATTCGTTGCTTCGTCGCCTTTGTGATGTTTTACTATAAACATTGCTCTATTATCCTATTTTAAATAATACTACAACAAATTAGACTTCGTCGACTGTAAGTTACATTTATCGTTTTTGTAAATCTGGATATTTACTTGTCGCAGTATCCAAACATTTTAATAGCATTCGTTTCCAAACAATCGACTTTAAACAATATATTGCGTAAATAAATAATTATTACTAAACTGAGAATGATCATGTTAATTCATATTTTTATAATAGTAGGTATTCACTAACTTACAAAGCGAAATACAAAATTAATTCAGTACAAATTCGATTGCTTTTTAAACAGTCTTATCGCTACAGATATACTCGTACGCTTAATTCGCTAATTAACGCGGTTCACAGTTGGCGTAATGGTAATTAATAAATAAAGAAACTACTGTGCTAAGAAGTATCATCTGAGAATATTAATAACTACGTTCACTGCACTGTTTCGGCTTGTCTTGGACCGTAGAAATCTTTCGTACCATAAATTCAATACAGTATCCATAGAATTCTTCAATCAGCCCTAATTACATCGTTTCTTTTACACGTTATCGCTATTTAAACTACCTCTTACTTCTTAAAACTGCAACAATGGCATTAACATCGATCTATTAAGAGGTTAACATTCTTAAATCTATATCCTCTTCCTGTTTCCACTTCATTTAAAACAAAGAATCGAATTCTAGCTAATTCCTCCTCATATAATACACAATTTATAATCGAACTTCTCTGTTTTACAATTATTTCCTTAAACTGATAAAAATAATCATTAAATACTTCAGTCGTTTATATGATGCTACTGTATCAAGATGTTACGATAAATCCATTTATTTTTTTCTGATAAATTTCATTTCTATTCGATTTTACATTCAGAAGTGTTCCATTCAAAACGAAAAACGTATGATAAACAATATATATCCACTATAAAAATACTATACCGACTAAATATCGATTTTACCTGTAAAATCTGACGGTTGAATTAATAAGAATCCCATCGACGTGTTTCGCTCCTACTTTCTCTCGTCGCCGTTATTGCCATTTTCCGTCGTGCCGCTGAAGGAGATCGCACAACGCTGCGATGTAAGTCTGCGCCATTTGCAACGTCTCGAATTTGCTCAGTTTGTGATCAGCCCCCAGACTGGGGACCACTTCTCTCAGTTTGTCGAAGGCGTCGTTCAACCCGTTCATGCGGCGTCTCTCCCGCGCGTTCGCCGCGAGACGTCGACGCTTCAACACGCTCGGCGACGGCGGTATGTCCCTTGATCGTCTCCTTCCGCGTCGCGGGCTATTGACTGGCGATAACTGTTTCTACGAGTAATTAGGAATCCGGTTTTATGTGACGTATCGGTACAATGATGGACAAGTTAGCTCGTTGCCCTTTGATTCCTTCTTAACACGTCGAATGCCGCACGATTTCACGTAGCGAAATGCACGGAATGAGAACAATGCGATGTCAAATTATCTCGTTGAATCGTTTCATTGTTATCGCGCGTTTTATCTTGTCGAATGTCATTAGATAGCATTTGTAATATATAAATATTTGCAAATAGTGATCGTTTCATTGACTGAATTATAATAATTCGATTATAATAATTTAATACCGCATTCAACGTGTTAAATATGATCGATCCAATAAAAATATTAAAAGAACTAAACATTCTTATAAATTCAATTCTTTGTTGAAAGACAATTTAATTTGTTCTAACTAACCTGAGCGGATGTAACGGGTTCCCAGCAGTTCCTCAGTGGCTCGGCGATCATTTGCATCGGCTCATTCTTCTCGAGCATCTGAAATTTTTGCTCCTGCGGTGGCGTTTCGTAGCAATAAGCCGCCGGAATGTATTCAACGGAGTTCTCTTCGTGTAGCATCGATCTCGGTGAAACCGTGTGACTTATCGCGTGCTGTGGTTCATACCTGTTGAAATTCAATGGGACCACATCAGCCTCCCCTTTCCCGAATTTCTATTTAATGTTCGAAATTACGAACGATTTTTCTGTGTCCTTTTGTATTATCATAAATCCGTAACACTCACGGTTACAATTATGGCCACGAATCGTATGAAACGCGAGAAAATATGTAGACACATTAACCCTTTGCACTCGATGATACTTTTTAATTATAAACATTCATTATTTTCTCATGAAATGTTGATAACATTGTTTGCTACTGACAGAGTTATGTTAGTTAGTGGTAACTATTTTATTTCTAATCATACCTAAATGTAAGTATGTTATTTCTAAACATAACTAAACATAACTATTCTATTTCTAAATATAACTAAGCATAACTATTTTATTACTAATCATAACTAAATGTATGTTATTTCTAAACATAACTGTTCTATTTTCAAATATAACTAAGCATAACCATTTTATTACTAATCATAACTAAATGTGAGTATGTTATTTCTAAACATAACTATTCTATTTCTAAATATATCTAAGCATAACTATTTTATTACTAAACATACCTAAATGTAAGTATGTTATTCCTAAACATAACTATTTTATTATTAATCATAACCAAATCTGAGTATTTTATTCCTAAACATAACTATTCTCATTCCAAATATAACTAAGCATAACTATTTTATTACCAAACATACCTAAACGTAACTATATTATACCCAAACATACCTATTCTCTTTCTAAATACAATTAACTACAACTATTCTATTCCCACGTTTCACATACCGATACCTCCTACTCCAATACTGAATTTCAAAGTCTATAATTTCCCGCGTCAAATCAAACATCGACTAACTGTCGCCTCCCGGGTGCAAAGGGTTAAACGTCAAACGAAGCGTGCAACGGAGAACCAGTAGGTTCGCCAAAATCCAGTCTTACCTTTGAGGGGTCATAGGCGTCAACATACCGAAGGAACTTCTGTCATACGAGTCCGGAGTTCTCGAGTACTTCGTGATTACTTCACTCGCGTAATTAACCGGCCCCGACTCTTTCCGCGGCGTGTGCTCACCTTTGTGCCCGTAATTCTCCCCGCAAGGGACTTTCACGGAATCGTAGCTCGGCGAGTTGTACGGCGAAGGATACAAAGATTCGTACGTTCTACTGCTCGAATAATTGGTCGTTATCACTGCGGTGGTCACCGGATAATCGTGCTGATTACCAATCAAAGCCATTATTCGTTCACTTCGTTCCTCTCCAAAGTTTATAATCACCTAAGATTATACTCCATCAAGCGAATTACATCCCCCGATCAACACCATCCCTCGAACAATTTCCACTCTCCCAATTTCACAGTATCTTATCAATCCACGATAACTCTATGAACTCTACTCCAAACCCCCAAACTTCTCGAAACAACACTTCTATCTACCAGTGACATCAACGCAAAGCTACAACCATCAGGAGCACATACAAAAATTCATATTCAACCTCGAAATCTCGGACTCCCGATTATCCGAATGAAATCAAACTTCCGAATTACCTTCGAGATTGCTCGCGACACTATCGATCATATCGAACAAGCACAATCGTCGAACTCCGGCGTCACATGTCTTAGTGTCTTAAGTCTGCGTTAGCTTAGCTACCGCGGATCGGCTACCCATGCAATTGCCTACCAAGGATCGGCGACATTTAAACGGAACGTGTCGCCGGCGAATAAACACGTCGGTCCCTGATAAAGCGTCTGTCCTCGTCCAACGGTCCCGTTCGGCTCTAGCAGAATCATCGGGAGATTATGTTAGCGACGCACCGGACACCAGGATCATGCGATCAGTTCGCGGCGACAACAGCGAGGAGCAACAAGTCACCGATCTTCGCGGTCTAAAGGCTGGAGTTTGAGTGTGGCGCGTGCCGTACGTCCTTCAGCACATCAACATATGGTTCCCACTTCGTTTTACGTCCATTCTATGGGTGCACCTGGTGGCCAGTGCTCCTTCTGTAGCTACCCTCTCCTCTTCTTCGGCCGATACCATTCTACCCTGACAGAAGCGTGCCGCCGCCGCCGCCGCCACCACCACTTCCACCAGCGCCGCGCTCGCCGTTTCCTTCTTCTCTTTCCCGTCCGGCCTTACCCATCGCGTACACAGAAGCTGGACACTTCCTGAAGGGAAGGTGTACCTGTTGATTTAGATAACGGAGCCCGGGGAAGGAGTAGGGCCTGCCTACCTGTTGATTTAACCCTTTTAGTGCCGAAACGGGTGCCTACGCGAAGATAACGCTGCGGAACAAATTTTAACCTATTTTGTTTTTTATGGTAAACACTGGGATCACCTATAGGGATCATCTTATAGAGTTCCTTACCCTGAATACGAATCCAAAAGCCAAATTGCTGGGTCAGTTTTCGAGAAAACTGGGTTTCCGTAAAGTCGAATTTTTCGAACAATCAAGTGTTACGTGAAAACAAAGAACGATAGGCGGTTGAAATTTGTCGTAGAAAATAAAGGAGACTTGCTCGAACATGTAGCTGTACAAATTTTGAATTTTGCGTATCATTAAATGATTGTAAACGATGATCAAAGGTTAAAGAAGGTAGATGCGCGTACTTTGTATGCACTTCTGTTACATTTCTACGAAGAGTGGGTTGGCCAGCGCGAATTTGCTATGCGCCATTGGATTCTGTAGACATTCAACACGCAGAATTCGAAATTAAACCCAAAACAATTTTTTATATTCTTTTGCAATGAAATTAGATCATTTATAACGTTTCGTAAATTTATTTTGAGATAAAGCTTTCTCGCAGTGCGAAGAACAAGGCGCCATCGCACGATACATCGTCGTCTGGCACTAAAAGGGTTAAATTCCACCCAGAGAAGAAGTTCAGTGGGAGTTAGTTGATGTGAACTCGAATGATAAGGGCCGACGTAGATCTGCTTTTCAATGGAACTCTCATCATTTCTTTAGCCTTTTTATTCGACAGATGTTTGTGCTCTTTCATGATACGTTTTACTAAGTTAGTATTAATTAATATTAATGAATCTGTTTGAGCATACATTCATTTTAACAAGCATAGCTTAAGCATGTAACTGTATAAACACTCTTTTTAACAAGGAACAACCTGTATACTTCCAGATACAATGGACGTGCATCATACGCATGCGAGACTTCTCGTGTGGTGACTTCAATGACTGGTCAAGACACTCCTTGCATATACGCGGTATCCAATCCCTAACGTAAGTTTTCATTCTCGTTTCAATTGTTTTCTTAGCTTAGTCTATCTCATGAACATTCACTTTCCAGTCGAATATAACTTTACAATTGCAGAAAATTGTAGTCCAACTGTTATATTTCAATATATTACTGCAGTACGTTCGATAAACGTCTTTTTATGCATACATAAGTTCATTCTTGATTCACTTAACTCTTTGCATTCGAGAGGTGACTCTCACTTGATTTGATATTCTAAATGAAACTTCGTATTGCTGTGTGAAACATTCAAATAAAATAGCTTCGTTGCGTAATTTATCTGTGGATTATCTTAAATTAGTTTCGAACAATGTCGTCTATCTCGTCGGAAAATGCTGAATATTTCCAGTGAAAAACTTTCGAGTGCAAAGAGTTAAAAAGTAGACCTTAGATTTACCGTTGCGTTCAATCTGATTAATTTAACACTAGAACTACCGAGCATTTAATACGATTAATATGCAATTCCTATAAAAATAGTAACAATAGATTATTTTCAGTTTCTTTAGACATCCATAGTACTCTAGTGAAACTATTTATTTTCAAAATCATTTCGAATATTCAATGCTTCGGAGATATCAATAATTGCTAAACAAAAAAATCGAAACCAGCCATTTTGATTGGTACTTAGTTCTAGTGTTAATGTTTCGGCTTCGTTTCGCTTCGAAAACTGGATAATAGACGCGTATCTCGCACAGTCCTTCGCCATGCGAGAGCATCAGAATTTCCAAAGGATGTCCGAGCGCTGTCGAAATTTCCACGTCACGCTAAAAATTGAATTCCAATTACCAATTTTCCAGTCTTTGTCTCGTTTCGGCGGAACACGTCGGCTGACTTTCTATGTTTCGCCGGTTCGCGTCGGTGAAACGACAGATGCTATTATAATGGAAGCTACGGAATATAATAACTGTGTAATGCGTGTGTCTTATTTGACGGATAAAAGAACGGTAACGGAGGAAGTGGAAATAAAGAGGAAACAGTTTACTTGGACACGTGCATCTACGTCTCTAAATATATGTTTGTATTTGGGCATATTGTATCTTGAACGCTACGGAAACAATGCTCGTAAAGTGAATTATTATTAAATTGAATCAGTTAACGAGTAACATGTGCCTTTGCGAAGGCGTGTACAAGACTTTCCACTAATCGCGATTACTTCTCACAATTAACTGCTAAATAGCATTTCCAAAATTGAAAACTATCGAAGGAAACAGCACATTCAGCATGTATACACATGAATCTATAAAGAACTGTTTATTTACACCTATTACAACAAAGCGTGTGTTGTATAGTGTTATCAGAATTCCTATAAAAATTGTTGTTTCTGCAATCAATGAACCTGAATCAACTATTTGAACGAACGCCAACGCGAAGCGTGCAAAAGTATCGGGCGGAGGAAGGAGGAATTGACAGGACACAACGGTCATAGCTCGGAATGAATCGCCTTAAGACAATTAGAGATAGCCATCTTGCAGCGGGATCTAGGTCTGTTAAGAAGGGGCCTTCGGGCCGGCGCGTGCCCTGTGCCAACGAGCAACTGGGGCGCACGATGAAAGGAACTGCAAGGTGTTACCCCGCCGAATGCAGGAGATTGCAGGATAAAGAGTGCCGACCAAGGGGGAAAAAAACTGTCTCGGGAGCACTCAGACGTGAAGACACCGTCCCTCCGAGGATCAAAGTCCGTTACCCCAAAGAAGATAGTGAGTAATAAACTTACTAATCGACGACAGGAAGTGTCTGCATTAAATCAATTGATAAATTGCTTCGAGTAGTCGGGAAAGGGATGCATCCAGAATACACGTCATTTTGTAAGATTTCAGTAACAAAAGAAGTTCTCGACTCTGGAAATTTAGGAACTTGTAAAACTTTGTGTAAGTCCGTTGTCTTAGTGAAGGTAGCGAGTAATAAACTTAATAATCGACAGGAAGTGTCTGCATTAATTCAATTGATAAATTGCTTCGAGTAGTCGGGAAATAGCAAAAGGGATGCACGTCATTTTGTTCTGAAGAGATATTGTTCGTTGTACTCAATTAGGGTAAGATTTCAGTAACAAAAGAAGTTATCGACTCCGGAAATCTAGAATCTTATGAAACTTCGTGTGAGTAGAGTAAGTTAATACATTGCAATTTTTGTTTCATACCGAATTTCACTTTGGGGTAAACCACCCTTGAAACAAATGCAATTTTTCTTTCCAGGAGAAAAAGGAGAAAAGGAGTTTAAACAAAATAAATTGTTCCTTCGCGTCTATAGAATTTTATCTTGCAGTCATTCTTACTTATGAAAATTCATAACAAAATGAAATGCAGAATAAGAATCTAGTACGAATAAAGTTACTGTCTTTGTTCTTACAGTAGAGATAATAGCCGATTTTCTTCTATCATGTCCAATTGCAAATCTGATTGCAAATATTCCTGATTTTTGTTTCCGAGCAGTCTCGATGTTGAAAAATTTCCTTCGAAATCTAACATCGTACGAACAGAAGACAGAAAATTCGATGTTCCACGGTTTCCGAATCGCATCATACGCCTGTCGCACCATATGGTTCTTAGGGATCGATTCTTTTCCAGGAGAAATGGTAGGTACGTCGACGCAGAAAACAGCAATACCGATCTATCACACTCGGCACGTGTCTCACCCTCCGCACGAGCTTAATTGATTTCTGTTCGCATGCCCATTGAAGAAGTCATTCGAAAGTTGATAAAAACTTGTTAACGCTCGTCACAGTGGAGGATGTTACTCGTCGGGAACCAATTTCAATCGTCGAGGGGAGAAATGAATTTCAACGTCGTGTTCGCAGGATACGAAATATACTACCTGATGAATGGCTTTTGTCTCAATTTATACCCATCAAATTTATTTGTCAATTTCTGGTAGGATTCATTGGGTTACTTAGTAGAAATTAATTAGTCGATCAAGTAGGTGTGGTTTCCTATCCTTATTAGTAATGTCTGATCGAGGTTCATCGAAATTATATATTTCATATGGATGTCTTTAAGTGAATAATTTACTTTTTAGACAAGTTTCTTGTTTTAGATGAAAATGAATTTTAATAGAATTCTGAGTTATTCGATGGAAAGAATTATTTGTAAGAAATATTGAAGGATTACTTTCATTTAAGATAATAAATTTAGTACTTTATTCTTTTTTAAATTTATTCTTTATTGAAAGAAAAAATTGTTAAGAGTGTAATTGTTGATAAATAAAAATACTAAAGTGTATTGGTAATTGCTTTGTTTTATTGTAAGTACATTACTGTTCATTTGGCATTAACTTCAATCCATGCACATTAATTCAGTCGCTCTTTTCGTACATGTTCCTTGGCATTAACGAGCATCCATGATCACTTTTTAATTAATAATTATTTAAAAGAGCATAGTACCATACAGTAGGAAAACGACGCCTTTAGAACCTTGAAAACGAGAGCATCCTGCATTTACTATTTCACTGTATAATTATTCATTCATTGTATAGTAGGTTCTATAAAATTGTAGATGTTTATACAAAAATTTAACTTTACGAATGATTTCACAAACTTAAGAATCAAAGGTATATTTTTTCAACAATTTGTTATCTCGTGCATGTATCAAACACACTTTCATATGTCACGAATATTCAAATTGCGCTGTTTAATTGGTACACTATTGTAATAATGATTATTATTACAATCTAATACTACAACAAACATATCTTACCGCAGTGAAGTTTTGTAAATCTAAGATGTAGAGTTTACCAGCTGTTAATCTCATTGGCTGCATGCTTTTTAGCAATATAATATGCAAAATTTTTCTGGCCTGAATAGACGATTGATACCATTTGTTCTCGAGTCTGGAAACATGTATATTTTAATTTTGATTCTAATTTAACTTAGATTAAATGTGTTTGTTCGTAGCGTCAAGTTGAAAACCCGAGAATGTACGGTTCGATAATTTAAATAATGAGACACCAACGTTCGGTTGACTCTCGAATAATCCACCGTTCAACGGTAGAATTATAATTAATGTCATAATTGAAATATGATAAATATGAGAATATGAAAATACGAAATACGATAGTTTATAATTTAAATTATAATTGAAATATGATAAACACGAAAAATATGCAACATAGGAATTTATAATTAAAATATGATCAACACGAAAAATATGTGACATAGGAATTTATAACTAAAAAAATATGACAAACACAAAAAATATGTGACATAAGAATTTATAATTATAATATGCTAAACAGGAAAAATATGCAACATAAGAATTTAAACTATAATATGATAAACAGGAAAAATATGCAGCATAAGAATTTTTTAACTAAAATACGATAAACAGGAAAAATATACAACATAGGAATTTATAAGTATAATATGATAAACACGAAGAATATGTGACATAAGAATTTATAACTATAATATGACAAGCACGAAAATATGCAACATAAGAACTTATAACTAAAATTATAAATTGTCAAGAATACGAAGATAGAATCGAATGATATTCTTCCTTACTACACTTCTCAAGGAATTCTTACGTATTCACAAAGATGCTTCCAGTGCAGTCCGACAGCTGTTGTCCTGGCAGGCTGGATAGCAATAAGATACAGTACAAGCACATTGAAAACGGAATGAATCTTACAGCCATATTCGGATCGTCTAAATTCGCAATTGCCTAATTACCAAAGAAACAACAGAACACTGCGTTATCGTTGAAACAATAAACTCATTCAATCCTCTTAAAACCAGACCGACCTGAAACTGAGTGAAGCTCATTCCGATCATGTTGAATCCTATTTGAAGGAAAGAAGACATCGTATTCATTTCCTCGATCGTATTACCAAAGCTTCAATATTTTAATTTCGGTTAGAACAATTCCCAAATGCAGTGGTACACATTTTAATTAAAATTATACATATAATCTCAATTCATTTTAACTGAATTTAAATTAAAATTCAACCGAAAGGAATTAATACTGACTGAAGTATATGTTTGTGCAATATTGCACAGCTCTTCACAGTTTGATAAGCTTTATCGTCGTGTTTGTCAGGATTCAACTCAATATCCATATTATCGCTTTCCACAATGTTTCTTAGTCGAGATCTGAAGAGTGTTAAAAACATTTGTCTAACTGCGGCTCTTGTCGGGATGAAGTCTGGCCAAGTGTGTTACAGGACATATAGTTTCCCGTGAATTGTGATATCGTTCGGAAAATTCATCTCTGAACAATCGAATGTTTACGTACAAGACATACCCCGAATAATACCATTACCCCAGAATTTCGCAAAGTCCGCACTCGTGACGAATGAAAAGCACTATCATCGAGTCGCAGGCGACAACCATTAAGATGAACGTTACGGTTCCGGTCATGGTGTGCAGTAGAAGAGGATAGTAATATTTCTCCACGTTCATGAAATAATCGTAGCGAAACATTAGCTCGCGTACGATGGTTCCATTGACGAGGCCGAATTTCTTAAATACGTTCACTATCGGTTGCACGAACATGTAGGGTCCCATTGTCCCAAATATGGACACTGTCGTCAACATATCAGAAAGTTAAGCGATAATTCTCATCGATTTTATTCGTGGACTTCTCTGCGCTAGTAATCAATCGTAAGTGTGTTCACGAATATCTACGTACCGTGAATACGAAGCAACTTTACCTGTGTACAGAAATGTAACCCTTTTACCGAGTGCGTAATGTTTACACATAATGTCATACTCTTCTTTCGACTTTGTATATAACTTCCAGTCCTCTTGCATCGTGTCTAAAAGTGTCTTTATCTGCGCTTACGATTCAAATGAATTTTCGCGTGATCTGTTGTTACCATTCACATCGAGAATAAAGGTGAACGTACCGACTGACGATTGAAAAAATTGAAATATTTCATAAAACACATATAGCTAATGAGGCCAGGAGAAAAATCTTCCACGAACGCGTTAAAGTCGTCGAAGATTAAAGATGCTATCATTCCCCAAGTCTAGAAAGTGTTCAATTCTATAAACAATCAGCCATTGTAACGCTATAAAAACAAACGATGAAGCCTTTAATGTCGCTTTGTTATTAATCATTACGTGCCGGGTGTTACATTTCGAAATAGTCTGGAATATCTGACGCGATAAGACTGTCGATGTGTGTTTTGCTTACAATACGGATCCAATCGTATTATAGGATTATAGAATTATTTATAGGATCTAATTAAAAAGACACGGGAGTGTGTGAACTATGATTTGTTGGGGAGTGAAAGAACTTTGAATGATGAGACCAAGTTTAACCCTTTCGGACGAATGTCGACGTTTTGACGAGTTGAAATTTTTATTTGGAAAACTAAGTCGCGAACGAATGATTTAATTAGCCAAACAGCAAGAGATCAGTAGCTTCCTTTCTTTCTATTAATTAAGCAGTTGTTATATAATTCAGCTTGATCCACTGAAGGTTTTGTATATCTCAAAGGGTTAATGTATTCAGCTCAGATGGATACCATTGTTTCAACGAAACCAATCACCGAAATATTCAAAATTTGCATAGGAACTCCAGTTTTTGTAAACGGCGATTGATGCAAATATAAATATCTAAAAATTTGAAAAATCAGTATGAAAGAAAATGCAGAAAAATTAGAGTTACTGGGAAGTTTTCACTTCCAACGAGATAATCGCCCCATTCGTACAACCAAAATTTCATGTGATGGCTACTATACAACACACCAGATGTTTCACAGACACCACGACAAAGTCCGGACATTAACCCCATTGAACCCTTGTGAGCAGAAGTCGAAAGAAAATTGAAGAAACGTAAAATAACTCGGACACAAGCGTTAACGCTGGAACTACTGCGCCCGACAAAATGGCCGGTCTCAGTTTCCTTACTTCGCAATTATCGACGTCTTACAGATGTTACATATCCGAAATGACTTTGAAAATAAATAGTTTCATAAGAATACTATAATGAACGTATGAAAACCGAGAAATATCTATTATTACCATTTTTTTAAGGATTATGTATTAATTAAATTAAACGCTCGATAAACGTAGTGTTGAACAAAAGGATCGATTTTACGATTGAAAGATATAATTAGAGCCAAAGAATGTCAAACTTCTTCCTCGATTCATCCTCTTTAGTTTTAGTTATTCTTAAAATTAAGCATATATCTTTCGCAATTATTTTTGTTCGCCAGTCAATCAGTAATAGTCTAGAATCAATCTCATTTTCATACGTTCTAGCTTTGAAACGTAACAAATGAAAATGGTAGTGTTCCATTTGAATGGCACAGGACTGCATAGAAATAATATTTACAAGAATTCTTCACAATTCGTAAAAAATCTACAATTTCCCAAGAAAGTGTTTCACCATTTTCCTGCTTACTGTTCTGACATACCGACACTGTAAAAAATGGCCTAGCATACTAGTGGACTCTACCTAAATCGAACGGTCAGCTACTGAACTATATAAGACAGCAACGTGGAAAGTGTATCGAGGGTGGTTAATTTCTTACCAGGGGCGCAAGTTGAAAAACACGCTGTCACATGTAAAGAGTGAGATTTCTATGAAGATGTTCAAAGCCAGTAAAAAATTTGAACATTGTTTGACTCATTAAAGAAATAGAAGAACGAAGTACCATTAGGATACGAATATAATTTTTCGAAAACGTAAACAATTATAGGCAAAGAATACCGTATTGAATAATAGGTTTATGTATGCATAAAAATACGTACGATCGTTATCCCTAAAATTGAGTTTTCATAGTTCTGTCACAAACATAGCTATAATTTCTTTGCAATCGTTTCGCGATTAAATCATTCATGGCGTTCGACGAGTCCACTGTTTCATAAAATCGCAGTACCTGAAACATCACTTGGAACCCAGCGATTGGTAAAAATACAGATCCAACTAAAATCTTCTCCAACGGTGTCTGGTACGGCCATTGTCCCACACAACACAACAAATATTTATTAAGTTTCAGATAGTAATATTGGGAACTTTCCATTTTCCCCGTTTGAACTTCTTCCCTCGTTCCTTCGCGTTTGAACACTGATCCCGGCGCTCCTCGCGCGAAATGTCTGCATCGATTACGTCCGACGTGATCGGGCATTCCGTTTGAGAGAGCTAATTGCATCACATTGATTTCAATTATTCGTACGGGATATTAGAAGGGACGGACGAAGTTCCGTCGAGCATGTAATTTCATTTCGAACATTGAATAATTATCAGTTTCTTACGAAATCCGATATCATAGGGTTCTCTATCAGTGATTACAGTTCTTCGTACATCTGCTGGTTATGCATATGAAATCAAAAGTGACGAACTCCAAATCAAAAGCTGGAGGTTTCTCGGATTCGTAAAAATTCTATAATGTCTGTGACAGTGAAATGAACGCTTACCTTTATTACCTTCTTTACCCTTTTTTAATAAACTGTCGTACAGTGGATGTGATTGCAGAATACCCGAGTATTACCTCTATCAATGTCAGCAGTCTTCGTTGATATCTGTGTCATATTCTTGAACTCTGCACTCGAAGCTGTTTCTCACTGACATTACCAGCAACTCGAAGTGATTTCAATGGAAAAAGCGTATTAACATATAAATAAATAATACGAAAAGAAAAGTCATAGATGTATCTTACTGTTTTCTATCGATTGTAGATATAAATGTCATAATATATTTAATGACAAAATTTTAAATGGGCAAAGGGTTAATAAATCACTGTTTCGATCATTAAAGTACAGTTCAACTTTTGTTCCCTTCGCTGAAGTATTGAAACGTGGATGGGAAATTAACGCGTTAAGCGCCATTAAAATCTTGACCATTTTTCTGTTCATCCATTTTAGCAAAGAAAAGTAGCAAAATGTTACAATCTTTGCATTACACTATTGTCAACTTAGTTACTAAACATTTTGATTCGACATCGATTATCCTACATTATTGTTTTCAAGTAACTCAGAAGCGTCAGTCATCGATGATTAATATGGCATTTAACGTGTTAATTAGAGGAGAGGCTACCAATGTGTGATACTCATTTTATTTTTTAGCATAGGCAGTTTCAAAGAAACGTAATTACTCTAATTATTGTTAATTACTGCCTCGCTGCGTTGAATGGTCAGTTACAGAAGAATGAAATCGCGACTCGTTTAATTCGACTGCTCGGATCGGTTACAAAAGAACGCGAGTGCGGTGAATTACACGAACTGTATACGTTCTTCATTGAAAATGTGTAACGTGTTTATTATCCATATATTCTGATAACATTTTGTTCGTTAAAACTAGTACACAGTATAACATGTTTATAATTCGCGAGTATAGCGGAAATGAGGGGCAAAGAATAATTTCTCATCGACAGACAATTCTGACGACGTTTGATCAAATGAAATACTAGGCTCGTTGAACGCTGCGCTCGACAGGTTTCTTATTTTACAATGGTCACGTTTAAATGAACAGTTAGGCAGTATCAGATAGAATAATGATAATTACAGTAGATGAAAGCAATAGCGACAATTAGAGTAAGTGCGGCCACGAGGTGTACGATCGATTGTATAAATAATAATGCGCAAAGTATTTATACAAGTGAAACAGAATAAAACTGTTCTTCGAAAGTCAATTACACTCGACTCCTGAAGGTATAGTATTTAACACGATTACTCTGCACGATAATTTATCTTATTTTATATACATGTTATATTTAAGACACTTTAGGATGCAACTTCGCAATTGCAGACCACCTTCGATTAATGGTACGCGTTTCGTTACTGGTTTCGTTCGGAAGTCTTAAATACGGAAACAACGAAATACAGTCGGAGAAGGCGCATTTCGTCGCTCGAGGATACTTGTTCTAATTAGAACTTGAATTTCATTTGCATTCGATAAAACCCTTGTGACATGAATATTCTATTTATGAATATTCTGCTCTAATTATAATATTCTACTCCAATAATCGTTTGTATTACAGTTATTTGTGTAACGTAAATTATTCGATAAATTTATATTATAAGAATTATATAAATATTCCTTCAAATGAAGTATTATATTTGTTGAAAATATCATCAATTATATTTTATACTTGTCGATATCATTTAGTAGGTCAGTGCAACTGAAATGCTAATTTAATGAGACTTGATACTCCATTGAACATTATCCGCATTCTTCAAAATAACATCTCTGCAAATGTTAACGAAGACCTGAATTTTTCAGAATTTTAGAAAATTTGCCTCTTTATAAACGAGTTCCCTGTTAAACAATAATTTCCCTATTTCTCTAGATTATCTGCCAAATTGTTAACACGTTAACTGCCACGAGAATTTCGAACGTTTTGTGTAACAATACATATCCTTTCATAACAGAGGCAAATGATATTAGAAATAATTATTAATGACTTGGTATCACAGTACACGTGTTACACTATCATCTACCTGTTTGTATTACTAAGTAGTTTTAATCGATATTACTTTTCTTATTGTAATTGTATTTAAGCAATTTTGTCAGTCAGTCAACGTGTTAAGTTAGCTTGAGTTTTATTTCAATTCAATGTATAGAACAGTTTATTACAAACAACCTTCCATAAAAACTGATCTATCACAGGAAGTGCATTTTCTTTTCTTCAAAATTACCCTATCATTTCAACGTTCAAAGATCTATAATAACTTCCCATATAAAACTTCGTTTCGCAGGTACATATAATTTTTATTTTTAGCCAAAAGTTGCCAGACATTCGGTTTACATGGTCGTCTCTGCGATGCAAAAAGATATACACAGAATGCTAAGAAAATAGCTCCAGCCGAGCAGAACTCGATTTCGCAATCTGAAGATTCGTCGACTGGCCTGTTGTGTTTTAAACAAATTTAAATTCCTCGAGCACTGCGACATTTGTATGTTTCGTAGTCTCCTCACGCTCGTTAACGGTCTGGTAGCTCCTAATCCCGCGCATATCAATCAGTAAAACCCACATTTCATATGCATTGACCTAATAATCATCATCTATGTACAGACATATCGGTGTTCATTAACAACAGCAGAAACGATCATTCTCGGGGCAACTGGCAGATGTATCTGTTCGTTCATTAGCTCCATCGTTGCGACCTTGAACGACTAAATCACTCTACTCCGACTTCGCACGTTTGTTTCTTGTTCCCTTTTCGTGTGTCTACTGATATCATCCCAATATTCAGGGTCTAATGAAATTAATGCATGAAGTTGAGTTCGGTCATCGTCGGTCAACCTAACCGATTTCTAGCTGCGATGAAATTGTTATCAAAATATTTTCCAAGCAGTTTTTTACGTGGTGACATTTCCACTGATAGTAGTGCGAGAATCTTTTCGATAAATGTTGGATCTAGTAAATAGATCCGGTACGTTGCGTGAGTACTTCCAAGAATAAAATCAGTACTTGTAAGTGTAATTAAATTCTAACGAGATATGTTCGAATCTTAAGTACTTCAGAAAACAATAGAAGTTCTCATGTGTAAACTACAGATGTTTGTATTGGGTGCAGTTATCGATGAGCTTAGCTTCGATTTCGATGATTCTCAAATATATTATTAGAGACATAATTTTTAACTTTTTCTTTTGTATGTTGTCAACGGAAGGCTTTAGTTTCCCAGATAATCGCGATAAACTTTCTACTGCTACACTGAATATATGTAAATTATATATAATATAATTAGAATATTTATGTAGAATTAACTATTCGCCTATAGTAGTACGTCGGTTAAAACTTATAAATGCACTGAGGCAAGGGGAGACGCCCCTCGGCTAGGCCCCGCCTCTTTCCAGCTTAGTCCCGCCTCCTCTCAGCCCAGCTTCGGCCTCGCCAGATCGACCACGCCCCTCAACGTTTAGCACCGCCTCCTCCCAGTTTAGCTCCGCTTCCTCCCAGCCCAGCATCAGTCCCATCGAATTGGTCGCGACCTTCTCTCATGTAGCTCCGCCCCTCTCACAGTTAACTCCGCCCACGTTTGTCCTGGTCCGCCCTCTCTCGGTTAACACCACTCGCCCAGCTAGGAGCCGTTCCCTCCCACCGTTAGGCTCCGCCTCCCCTCGGCTGGGCGCGGCTTTCTCTCCCTCCCTCTTCTTTGTCACGAACTTTCATTGAAGTTTGAGGGCTGATGGATGCAAGCCAGTTAAATGCGGTTGTACTTGTTTCTCTCTCACCGGCGCGCACACGAATACAGAATTCAGTGCAGTAGTAGCAAAAGTTTTTCGCAATTATCTTCGAAACTAAAGCATTCCGTTGACAACATGCAAGGGACAAAGTTGTTCAACATCGTGTCCCCAACAATACATATGAAAATCATCGCAGCTAAACACATCGACAACTCGACCTTATATTGTAGTACGGATTTCTTGTGTATCAGTAAGCAGAATTTATTATTAACCTACTTATCATAACCTATTAATATTAACCTACTTCGAAGTAGGTACTTACACAATTACATTTAAGATACAATTCAAGTAGATTATCCAATTTCGTGTTTCACTGTTCTCAGTTCTATTGCGTAAAATCTGTAGTTCAATTGTGAGAATGTTCGGAACCTAACGCATCGTGTTTAAACATTTCCTAAGTACTCGATTCCTTTTCTTCCTCGACTATTCCCTCGCCCGTACGAAAGAGCCGGTGAAAGTCTGTAAGTTACATTATACGTGCAAGCGAAATCTCGACGAGATCGAAATTTTCTGATAAAAGTTGTGTGAATATTGTTGTCCACTTAAGATACTACGATATTATGCATTTTTATTCGAATTGTTCAGTACATTACAGAGTATAAACGGCAATTATTTACATTAGCGATTCTTCGCCGATTTGAATCACCTTGAAATGTGTCCTCCGGGATTCGATCCTGAGCAACCTTCGTATATCCGCGTTGCGACCTTTCAACTTTAGTTTCCAAATTATTCGCAAAGAAGTTCCGCCTCCTCGTTGACGTAAACGATCTTGAAATATATTTCCAAGTACGTCACTCTTCTCAAGGACGAAGACCAACGTCAAGGACAAATCCTAAAGAGACGCGGAAGATCGAACACCCGAAAGTCGTTCAGAACGACGATCTCGACGACGCATTCCAAGGTCATCGTAATCGGTGAAAAGCGACCAACACATATAATAACCAGCATGAGTATTACAATATACAAATATTCATTAAATAAAATTATTCCGTCGTGGACTACAACATTTCTTGAATTTTTCTCGCTGCACGAATACTTCTACCCGCAACTGCACGTGTTCGTTACGAATTTCAAGAGGCGCCGACCCGTCCAAGCTACCCGACAAGTCGACAGAAACGATTAATTCAACCATCAAGTTTAAACAATCGATTTTCGCAAGTGGAATTCAACCTAGCCAAAGCGATTGTTCATTTACATGAGTGCTAATCGAGTCTAATGAAACGAATATTGATGTAATGTATTCAGTTAATTGATATTCATCGGTGCCCGCGTGCGGAACGTGTTTCATCGATAATTTCGGCGGCGGTTAGAGACAACCGGCCGCGTTCAATCGATCAATTGGAAAGAGGGTATCCCATTTTGCAAAGAGGACACGAGTTCGACTAAATTCGACAGAAGCTTCGTCAATGAATCGGACTCGTCGAGACGGCAGAATCGTGCGGTGAACTTCGAGTTGCCTATTAGACGACGATGCAGCCGTTGTTTTGATGACGCGTCTTGCCGCTCTTCGACATGCTGAAGCCGGGGCAACATTGGTCCTGCTGCGTTAGCGACTGCGAATTGTTCACGTTGCCGTGGAACTTCGAATAATTCTCTTTGCTCTTCTTGCAGGACGCATTCTTCTCTCGCTTCGACACGTCCGCCTGAACCCTCTCCTCGCGGAATTCCTCCGAGGATGAACTCGAGCTCGCGTTCACGTTCACTTCCGTCTTCGTGTGCACCAGGACCGACTGGTTCTCGACTCGAGGCGACAGGCTGTCTCTGTGTTGTCTGAAATGCTCCTCTGTATCGTTCAAAAGAGAGTTCAGCATGTCCATGTTCCTGGTGATCACGGCACCCATGGAATTTGACCTGCAATCTGCGAACGTAATAATTATTCTAATTAGTGTATACGTAGACTTTGTGGTAACCAAAGTTTTACTTGTGTATAAGTGCTTTCACTCTGGGAAAGAGAAAGTCTGTTTTAGTATGAAGCACGTATGAGAAACTTAATTAACGATAGGACTAGCATTTAATACGATTTATGAGAACCCTATAAAAATTGTGACGATAGATTATTTTCAGTTTCTTCGAATACTCATTTTATTCAAGTGAAAATGTTTATTTTCGAAATCAATGTTTTTAAGGTGTCAATAATTGCGAAACAAGGAAACCGAAACCAGTAATTTTGACTGGGACGGTAGTTCTAGTGTTAATTAACGCTAGAACTACCAAATAATTAAACTGACTTCCAAGTTTCTTTGTAAAACTTGTAACTGTGTATTTATTAAGGTTTCAATTGGTTTATATTTCAGTGTAGGTATTAGTAAATTAGCTTCTTTAACGATTTCTCAGAGAAACATCTGTACCTTCTCATTAATAAAAAGGAATCAGAAATGTGTTATTCTCACAATTCTAGTATTAAAAATGTGTCATTCAAGTTTACCGAATGTTAGAGGCTCGACAAGAGTTCGTCCTGTAAATCCGAAATTCAGATTTCAATATTCCGAAAGACTGATATCATTTGTAAATTAATATGAAACTGATAATGCAAGTGAAGAGCAGAATGTGAATTTTAGAAATGTTAGAAAATAAAGGAATTATAACATCAGATTTGATTTCTCAGTAAACTTGTTGTAACAATTGTAATTGTAATTATGTCAACTGTTTGCGCAAGATAATTCAACTGGCCATCATTTCTACAGTAATTGTCATCGTTCCACGACTGATAAGCAATTTCGTTACCTTTCGTATCAGCGTTCTTCGTCGGCGAATTAGCAACCGATCTCCGAGCGACATCTTGAAATGTGATCGGCGAATAGATTCTCCTTTCTTCGGGAAGGAACGACGAGTCCGCAAGTATCGGCGAAGCTATCTTAGAACCTCTTCTAGACGCAGTTTCTAAACAGTTTTGAGTATCGAACATAGTAGTGGCCGTGAATCCAGCGGATGTTCCCGCGGAGAGTCTCTTCTCAATGGTTCGCGTGTGCCATTGCGGTGGTTCTTGAATTGTGATGCCCTTCGTCGTCGACGACCTGTGCTCTCTCTTTTCAAGCCAATAGGTTTTCATTGTACCTACAACATATTAATGGTTTTGTGAAAATTTAGCTGCCGAATTTTTCTAAATATTCGGAACCATGATTACGAAAGTGGTAGTAGCGGTGGTAACTCCTTGTAAATGATAAAGATTTGTCAAAGTATTCGAAACCATTGAACCATAAAACTACTAATAAGGGATAAAGATTTGTCAAAGTATTTGAAACCACTAAACCATAAAACTATTAATAAGCGATAAAGATTTGTCAAAGTATTCGAAGCCATTGAACTGCGAAACTACTAGTAAAGGATAAAGATTTGTCACAGTATTCGCAACCATGAATCCATAAAACTGCCAATAAAAAATGAAGATTTTCCAAAGCATTTTCTCTCCATCAGCAGAGACAGCTAACTTCCACAACTAAGCACAAAATAAAACAGAAGCTACCTATCAATCTTTATTCTAAGTTACAATTCAGTTCCTAAGTCAATTAAAATTCAATAGCAATCCAGCCTCGGCGGTTCAAAATAGTTGCTTAAACGCACCTAACACGGAAATCCAGCAAAGAAAAAAGTATTATCATCTCTTATACCTTTCCCCTTCACTTCTATCTCCCCTCGTTCCTTAACTTTGTACGATGGCGACAGTAGTTCTCGCGTAGACTGCGATATATGAATTTGCATCGCTTGACTCGTCGCCTCCATGCGCGATGCTGTATTCACTGAATCCCCGAACAGGCAGTATCGAGGCATTTTCAAGCCGACAATTCCGGCCACAACGGCGCCACTATGAATTCCAACCCTTATTTGAAGATGAAGACCTGAGGAAAACATTAATAGACAATATAAAATATAAAGCAGACGTCAATGCAAGCTTCAGTGTACCATTAACACGTTAAGCGCCATGTCTGTCACCGATGACTGACGCTTCTGAGTTGCTGAGTTAAAATCAACTGAGTTAAAATGTTTAATGAGTAACTAAATTGATAATAGTGTAATGGAAAGATCGCAACGCCAAATAATTAATAATTGCAAGCATCATTGCAAACATCAGTGCAAGATCCAGTGTACCATTAACACGTTAATCGCCATGTCAGTCACCGATGACTGACGCTTCTGAGTTACTGAGTTAAAATCAACTGAGTTAAAATGTTTATTGAGTAACTAAGTTGATAATAGTGTAATGGAAAGATCGCAACGCCAAATAATTCATAATTATCTTTTCTTTGCTACAAAAGAATAATTCTAGAAAAAGGGCCAAGATTCTCGTTGTGCTTAACGTGTTAAAAACAATTGAAAATATAGATATTTGACAATCTAAACGAGATCCAGCCATCTCACTCCGAATTATCCTAACAACACTAGTCAGTAGCAAAGGGTTAACGTGATATTATTAAATAGATAAGTTACAAACAATATTTTGTTACAGACCTACCTGTAGAACGATCTTTTAAGTCCGTTATCGCTTCGACCATGTCCAATGCCATGTCGCAAACGCGATGTGCATGGTCGTTTTCCTTCACAGGCGCACCGGACACTACCATATACGCATCGCCGATTGTTTCAACCTGGAGGAAAAGACTTTCAAATTCACACTAAACAGAAGTATCAGATATTTAAGAGTTCGTATTTAAAAAACAATCGAGATATATTCCAAATCATTGACGATACATTAGCGCCGAAATATATTTCACACTGAACGTACCGTGCTCGGTTAAATGTTCGGTTTTCAAATTCTACATTTTTTTCTTTGTGTTCGTTTGCAACTTTCGTAATTAGTTATTTGACTTATTACGGTGAAAATATGTGTTTGTATATAATTCTCGGTACATTCAGTGTGAATCATTTATAGTACTCGCTATTTAAAGAGGAAAATAGAATAAAAGTTATTATCAGTCATTTACTAATTTTAATTAATTGTAAATCAATGTCGAGCTGTGCGCTGTGATTCAAGAATTATAAATTAAATTCGAAGTAAGTGAACATTCGGCTGAGATATTCTAATAAATAAGATTCGTTCAAATACTTGGTTCGATCATAAAAAATTCCATGAACCCCAAGCTATTCTTCTCGTTAAATCGCGAGCGATACAAATGATTCGTAATTTCTAAACGATAATGCAATTACGAAAGAAAAGATAAAGTAAAACGCTACGTTATGGAATAGAAAGCAAGTTTATGGTATGAGGACAAATAAATGCTAACTCTTACTACCTACGAATACCTTATACACCCGGTTCCTTTCTGTTAACGTGTCAAACAGAGAGTACATTGCGTTTAGCATAGACACGACTTCCATCGGTGTGATTCTGCTGCAGATTTCGGTAAAGGTAACGACGTCGGAAAACAAAATCGAGACGCTGTCGAACATCTGAAACAATCGTGAATGAACACCTTCTTTACTTGATTATTAGAACCTTTTCATTCTTCTCAAACGACCATTTTTCTTCAACACTTTCCCTATCAAACGATTCGACAGTGACAAAGGACTTTAGGTCTAAGTGACGTTAATTCAGCTTAAATAATACATAAATAATCCTTTTGAACTGTAATATCAGAAACACCGTGAAAAATCTATATATACGGAATTATTTAATTTAATAAACATTCAAGCAAAACTACACATTACAAGTTCACTCTCATTACGTACAATTAGTTCACAATGTTATCATAGTTTAATATTCCCTGGTTTACATTATTATATAGATTATTCCCTCATCTATATTATTATATAGATCATTACTATAATCTATATCAAAATATTAAAATATTCAATTAATATTAAAATATTCTTATTATATATAAACATATTCTCTTCAATTATCGTTATATACAGGGCGTCTAATTTCAATCGTCCAAAACAAAGATGTCGAGAAATACAAAACATACGTAATATTTCGTATAAAAATGATACGCGAAGAACTGTAGGATTCGAAGATGTACAGATAAATTCTGTTTCTCACCTCGCACGTGTCTATCGGACTTTCTCCATTTCTCAATCGGTCCGCCACTTGTTTCGGTATCATTTGATAAAGTAACTCGTCCGTTCGTTTCATTTCTTTGTCCAGCTTTCTCATGGATTCCTCCAGTTTCTTACTCTTCAGCTGCTCCTGATCTAACGCTAGTTTGAGCTCCACCGACTGTTGCGTACCAGCGAGCATCAGGTCCCTGTAACAAACAATAACTGCGATGACAATCGGTGTCAGATGATTTCATTGAAATCATACGGCGTCCTTCAGGACTTTACAACATCGGAAATTTATATCACATTTATCGTATTTTTCAACTATTAAGCGATACCGTCGTATCATTGGTATTCGAAATTTAATGAAAATAGACACTCATTGAAGACATGTGTACCTCTTTATTTCGGTGAAAGTAAGTTGTACGCGAACTGTTTCGCGAATAATATTACTAGAATTATGAGTACAACCTGGATTGAAAAATAATATTTTTAAAATCAATGTTAACCAATATTTCCAGTGTTCTATACACGTTTAAATAAAATCATCAACCTATTCTTCAGCGAACTTACTGTTCACCGTTAATTTGACCAGTGAACCGATTTATCGAGAAAACGTGGAAAATGCAATACTCGTTTCTCCTTAAAAAGATCAGTGCAATCCGTCTCTATTATAATAAATAGTATACAGGCAACTAGAAAATACACTGTACCTGCTAAAGTCATGCATGGAAAGATCATTTATATAAAGGCCAGTCGCTATTAAGGCGTTTAAGTCCGGCATTACGGGAGTTCCAAGGTACATCATCATCTTCCAATTATCCATGTATATCATTTGGCCTAAGGGATCATAGTCGACATTATTCGCAAGTATTGATTTATTATTACTCAAAATATGTACTATTCTAGTGGTAAATGTAACGTCCGTTTTAAAATGAAATATACAAAGTGTTTTGCAGCATGTGAGACGTATGTGGAGAGACAATTGTGCGACCTAAATTGCTCTATTTAAAGACTACCGCGTCGCGTCTATCCGATAGAGCTTTTTCCAGTCACGACTTTTCAATTAAGATCTTGAATCGGGAATTTTCAATTGAGAAGATTTTTTATCGTGAATCTTCGATTTAGCAGTTTTAATCACGAATTTTCAGTTAAGAAGTTTCTCAGTTAAGAAATTTTCCAATTAAAAAGTTTCTCAGTTAAGAAGTTTTCCAATTAAAAAGTATTTCAGTTAAGAACTTTCCCAATTAAAAAGTTCCCCAGTTAAGAAGTTTTCCAATTAAAAAATTGTTCAATTAAGAACTCTTTCGATTACCCTGTCCTACTATAACCTACAACAGGTTATTAACCTATAACATTTTCAAAATCTAAATAATCGAATATCAACTTTTCTAACAAACCTAGTGTTAATTACGGAATAACCGGTGACATTAAATAGCTTCTGCGTAAAATTGCCGGTCAACAATGCGTTAAGTATTTACTTAAACAGATACACACCTATAAGCATAAAGTCAATTTTCAGAGACGATTCTCTCTCAAAAAAACACAGTCGTTTATTATCAAAATGTCACTGTATATATCGTATATTCAATAATAGACAGGAAACATTTAATTTATACTAAAAATAAATAAGTGACATTAAGATTTGTCGAATTCGCTGGAAAACTTGCGTCGAGAGAAAAGTTTATAGGAAAAGGGGTTGAACAGCTGTCAAAAATGGACGAACTGCAAGCCACAGCAGTGCAACGTAATTCAATATAGCGCGGGGCACATGAACGTTGAAACGACACAGACGTCATATATGAAAACGCTAGAATGTCGCACACGTCCGTATATTCAGCACTTCCTCTGCCAACTGACGCAAAAGGACCAATGCCCGTGTATTGTGTCCACCTACGTCCGTACGAAATGACGTTCATCAACGAGCGTGGGTCCGCAAGTGCAGTTTGATTTAACACTGGGTTCACGAAATCAGTTTCAAACGTTCAGCATTTTATCAACGTTATTTGATAAATATTCGTATGAATTTTTATCGATGCAACTGCACGAATATGTATCTTAATTGTTTGAATGAACATCGACCTTTCTAGGGACAGTAAAATAAATAGAATAAATAAACCTAGCGTTAAACTACAGCGAAATATCTGTTCTGCAGTATTTTTATAGAATTACGAACGATACAAAGCTTAAAAATAGTTAAGTTTCTTCATAAATCAATGAGTAATATGATCGATCGAACTACAGTTTTTATCTATGTAGAGTAGGCATGTAAACGTGTAAAACATGTAAATATATTTATAAACATTTTGAGTTTTCTACGGTGGAAACTTCAGTGGAAAAGAATGATTTGAGAGATTGAGACATCCACAGTGGATATAGTGTGATTTGAGTTTATAATGACAAGTAGGTATGCTACAAATAATACATGTTCGTTGCATCGAAACAAGCTCCGTTCGGCCGGTAATGTTAAACAAATGAGTTTGAAATGAAAAGATACCTTTCAATCTTAAAGTTCTATCGTCGACAGAATCGAGTTCGTCGCTCAATAAGACTTCATTCCTCTGTCGATCGGCTGGCCGCTCCGTGAGAATCGGTTCTACTGTTACGAGTTCGAAAATGTTGTTCGTTCTGTTTAATATCTGTAACATGACAAATTGCCAGCGGAACCAGCGTAACATTGCGCACGAAAATCCTAGCGAACGCACTTACCGAATGGAACTTAAACGCGATCAGCGGTCGAACGAGATCGAAGAAATGCGTGATTTTCTTCCCGACGAGATCGGGCAATATTACCATCAATGAATTTCCAATGCTCCTTACGATCATGTCTGACCTGAAAACGGTAAATGGATCTCCATGTTGCGTAGAGGAGTTAACCCTTTGCGGACGAAGATTCATCGAACAGAAAACCGTCAGCAAATGAAGCTAGATTATATATCAAATGCTTAACACTAGAACTATTAGACTTTTTTGTTTAGCAATTATTGATATCTTCGAAGCATTGAATATTCGAAATGATTTTGAAAATGAATAGTTTCGTTTGAGTACTACAATGAATGCCTGAAGAAACTGAAAATAATCTATTGTTACAGTTTTTATAGGAACTGCATATTAATCGTATTAAATGCTCGGTAGTTCTAGTGTTAAGCAACATTGAAAAAGGAAACTAAATACCGATCTCTCGCTATTCGAGAAACGAAATAATTTATGTACGACTTCATATTCCAAATACGAAAGTTCAATTCCGTCAAAACGCCGACGTTCGATCGCAAAGGTCGAACACTAGAACTACCGCGCCCGACAAAATGGCGGGTTCCAGTTGCCTCGTCCCGCAATTATCGACGTCTTGAAAGTGTTAAATATCCAAAATGACTTCAAAAATAAATAGTTTCACTAGAACACCATAATAAGTATACAAAGGAACCGAAAAAAAAATTTATTGTTACAATTTTTGTCGTATTAACACTAAAACTACCAGACGCGTCAAGATGACCCAGATTTCTTCATTCCGCAGATTATTAAAAAAAACAGATGTTTCTCTGAGAAATTATTAAAAAAATCAATTCAGCAATACATAAACTGAACTATAAATCAATTGAAGTCTCGATAGATTTCAAGTTTCTATAGAGGAATTTCGAAAATTCAATTTAACTACTCTGTACGTGGTGTTAACACTTCGACTGCCTAGGTCACCGATACCGGAGCTTCCAAATTACAAGCAAATAATTATAACTTAATAATAAAAGAATAATATATATATAAAAATTAATAATATAAGAATTTTCATATCAGAGAATTAATAATTCTTGCTTTGTTTTTTTGCTATAGAAAGAATGATACACAAAACACTGAAGTTTCTCGTGGCAGTCAACGTGTTAAATACTCGGTTCTAGTGTTTATATATACAAATGAGAAAGAAACGAACGAATAAATCATGCGAATCAGTTGCTCGCGGTTAACGTAAGACAAACAATGTGCCACCTACCCAAACACAATGCAAAATGGGAATATTTCGAATAAGACTGAGGCTCCAATTGGCAAATGCTTCTCCTCGCGAGTCATGGCCAGGGAAGCTTGCGTGAACGCTCTGTTATCAAAGGTAAGTTGAAAGGTCACGTGCACCGTGTCGAAAAGGACCTCCTCGCGCACGAGCTCGATCTGTAATTCCTTGTGATAGAAATGACGAGCTACTTCTCTTATTTGCCCCATCGTGTAATAAACGAATCCACGTCGCTTGCTCCTGTAATGAAGAGTCAAGCCTGCAATAGAAGGAAATGGACTGATTACCAGTCTTATCTGACAACTTTTATATCCACCGGGCCCTGTTATTCGGGAATTCTTCAATTGCGTTGGGAACACCATTTCCGCTGTAATGCTACGTGGAAAACCCGTACACCGATCAATCTTCCTTTTTATTTATTTCATTCAACTTCCTTTGAGCGGGAAGCTCGAGAATCCACGAGAATTGACCTTACGTAAATTCACGTAATATTGTTTTTCTAAATAACACGAAATGCGCAGCTGATTCGTAACGATTTTATTTCAAGCTGTGACATTTATGTAGAACTTTCATCAAATGAGGAATAACTTTGTGAAGTCCAGCTTGAATAATCGAATGTACTAATGATACTGTTATGTCCATTATTTTTTATTTTTCTTATTCCTCGTTCTTATTTCCATCTTTGTTTCCAGGACGAGATAATAATTATGGAAAATCGATATCAATTGTTTTTAACCCCAAGTTGTGAAAAGTCGCACTTAGCGAATTCACTTGACCTACCAACAGATTGCCACTTATTCCAACCCCTTCGGCGTCACTCTGAGGACACGCTACAGAATGCACGAAAAATCCGCAAATGAGAAATGTTATCTGCTTGGGATTGCCATTTCTTTAACGAAATAGAAATCGGTTAGTTGTAAACATAGAAAAAGATATGTATATACTAGTTCTTTGTTTAAGATCATACGTCTAATGTTATTAATAGCTATGACTTTTCTATTACAAATCAGAAACAGCAGAATCTTTCAGAAAGTGACACTAACTTAGTAATTGAAAATTTGTAGATATCTTTTTCATTGAAAGGCACAAGTTTTTTAGTTAACCAATGATTACAATCGAGAGTACAACGGAACAACAGTGTCCTTTAACCCCTTGCCTTACAACAACGTGTCAGACACGTGCAGATTTCAAACAGAATTGAACTAGCATGGACGTTCGCTCGATGCTTTTGAATTCAAATTGAATATTATATTATTCAAATTGAATATTTGCAGCAAAGATTTATATAGAATATACACTTAGTCCTTGATTTAATGATTTATGATGACGAATGATTAATCATTATACTTGCTTTTTCTTGGTACAACGGAATAATTATAATAAAATGGTCAAGATTTTCGTGACCCCCAATCGAATCGAATTACTATATTTCACTCGATCAAACGATGATTTGAAAACGTTTCTATATTATAAATAATGCTGTGATGAACGTTAACCCTTTGCACTCGGATGTCTTACTAGAAATATTTAACATTTCTTTACGAGGCGAAGACGATGTTTGAGACTAATTCGAAGAAATCACCAATACATTAAAGAACAAAGCTGTTTTATTCCAGTGTTTTACGTATCGTATTATACAAAGTTTCACATTAAATATCACATTCTACAGTTTTACCGTGTCACATCAAGCGGCGACTGAGAGTCACCTCCCGAGTGCGAAGGGTTAATAAATCATTAATGACAAGGTAGGAGAAGTAAATCGTAAGGCAAGGAGTTAAGGATCCCGACGTTTCGTACGACGGCGTGACGGCTGGAATATTTACCTTGGCGTGTCTCATTCTCGCAAATAAACGAGGGAGCTCTCATCCTCGGATAGGAAAACTTGAGATATTCGTGTAAATTGTCCAACCCATTAAGGAAGTCTCTTACATGACGTCCAAGTACTGAAAGCACACGATCGTAACCGTACTGGCCAACGAATCCTACGAAGTGTACACCCATTTGATCGAAAAATTCTTTTTCCGTTATGCCAAGTACCTGTGGTATGAGAATATATTCAATTGGACGAGGATCATACACTTGTACCTCTCGTATAACGAACGAGCGTAGCAACATAAACAGGAGAAACAATTATTTTTGTGTTTACTGTTTAGACTTTCGCTGTATTCACTGGAAAAGAAAGGAACGAAACGTTGCGAGCCGATAACTAGATGTCTGTTTGCTAGATAAGCTAGATAATGGTCTGTATAAATGACAGATACGCCGTTAAGCAACGAATGAAAGAGAAATTTTGCTGTGTTTATGTTTGTTTGAGTCAATGTTTCTCGTATTATCATTGAGACGTCAAGATAGATACAATCATTCATTTTCCTGCATTTTTAATGCTTCTCGGGGATATTCGAATGTTTTATAAAGAAAATATTTGAATGTTATGTTTAATTCGAACGATTAATGTTTATGAAGATTTATTAAGCTGGATTTTGCACAAGTTTAACGTCATTGTAACTTGAAAGTTACAAAATATATTCGTTCGATGAAGTTATTGAAACTATTGAATACATTGTTAATTCGTATTCATATGTGGATATCTATTAATTTTGTACTGCATAGATTTTGTTATAATAATGAAAAAAAAATTCGACCCATAAAGGGTTAACGATCATTTCTAGATTAATCTTTACTGTTTCGTATTTTATTTGATACTCATTTCTGAAATTTTACAAAGTACACATGTTTCGAACATGCTCAGAATTAAACTGAATATTTTTAGAAAATAGAAATTTACGTAAACAGCAATTTAGGATCTTCCTATTGTTTTAATAATACAAACGTGTCCGTTATCGTAGAAATTTTCAAGAGCACGTCCTTACGATTCAAGGCAGAGATTATAGGAAGAAGCAGAGATCTCTTCGAGAATTAAGGACAATTACTTAAGTGAATATATTAATTTCGGGAGAGGAGGAACGATGCCACGTAAAATATAAAATAAACCCATGTCAGCGTAGCCGAAAACTGATTTGAATTTTAAAGCGATCTTTTGGGAAACATTAATAATGCAATACATGAAGGTTTTTCCCGTTCTATGAAAGATTATCATTCTAGTCAGAATTCAATTTGTAAAACATCTTTTCATGTTAATACCGGACCTTTTTTCTTCTATTACCGAATGCGCGTGCACCTATGGCGGGACCGTGTCCCCTCTACATACGTTAACGTCGTTAAGGAGCATGTGTCGTTAACATTAATCCATTATAAATCATTTCGTCATATTTATGCGCAAGATAATGGTCGTAGATATAAATCTTACGGGATTACATCGAATAACATCCTGGAGAATATTAAAAATCAGCATCGCTCGCAACGTTTCACCTAACGTGTATTTTTTTCCATTTTCCTTTCGTTCTGAAGTGAATACTTCATAGGACAGACGCACACGCATTTAATAAGAATGTTCTATCCAACACTGGATCACTCTTCGTTTAACGTTAATTATTTTAACATTCGTGAAATATCTCGCGATACAGATTCACTGTAATGACAATGATTCCACCGTGACGCGAGGACAAAGGTAAAAACAAAATTAAAATTGAACTTGAAGGTATTACTAGGTACAATCTAATACGTAACATAAAATTCTATGATAAAGAAAACGTTCCCCATAAAAGTACAATGAATTAGACAATAGATTGGTAATAAGAAATGAAAGCGATTCATTGTCCATATATCATTAGGTACATGGTATTTCGAAAGAAATTGAATTATTTGAATTTTCACTACTTTATTGAAACATCTTTCATAAACTAGACATAATTATAACGTTTCCTTGTAATTACAATTGGTTTCACTATTACAATGTGACAATTCACTTTATTATATTTTCTATAAAACAGATACAATTCTAATGTTCATTAATCACAATTGATCGTTTCTTATTGCAACGGAATGATACCTAATCGATGAAACACACATATTTACTGAAATTCTTTCGAGCTCGTAATATGCTCCAAATTTTTAAGCGGTATAAACACAATTCTAGACGAATCCTACCTGAATTGCCTTCTTCGCTAATCTCGGTATCAGATTCTCAGGGTAAACCTGATGAACACTGAAGCTTGGTTGATCTACGGCCGCCTGTCGACGAATCTCCTCCCATCTGTCTTCTCCGTAGACCTGCCGTATATATTCGGACATGTTCTCTAGTATTAGGCCGTACATCTTTGTTTATTTTCACACGCTTCCTGTTGACAAAGTTTCATTCTGTTTTATTGTATTCTGTTTCAGTTTCTTTCGTATTCTTTTATTCTATCTTATTCTACTCCCTTTCGTTTCATTTTAATCTATTATTGTTATTATTATTATTGTTCATCGATAACTGCGACATGTGTATTAATTAATTACATCAACGTACATCGTAGTGTTTATAGAACAAAATTCTCTCTTTCACTGTTATGGATTAAACAAATTGCAAATGGAAACTTAACTACACTGAAAAATGATTCACTGTACAGCTTCATATTATAACTTGAATTTTCAGTCATTTGATTTATAATTTCGTCTTACGTACTACTTAACACTCTAATAACCATAAGCGTGCGTTTATCAAGATTTCAATTGACTCGTACCTCAGCTTTTCTATTACCGAATTAGTTTCGTTAACCATTTTTCGCGGAAATATCTGTACCTTTTCGATCATTGTACAAGAAGAAATCAGGAATAAGTCATTTTGACCCATCTGGTAGTAATGTTAATAGCTGTCTGTATTCTTTGACCGTATCAAGTGTTTAGATTAACTTTCAATCACGAAGAGTCAATTACAATTTTTACCTGTTCTCCCCTCGTACGTGCCTCCACGAAAATTTAATTTTAAACTGGAGCACTAACAAGCATTAACCCTTTGAATATTCACAGCCGAAACGTTCCGTGTGGGCGGAATGTTTGTTTGCTCGTCTATCGATCGATGCATTATGTTAATTCGTACAATTAGTCGAATAGTAATTACATTGCAATCGTGATTTCTCAGTTTCACCGAATTGAATGCTAAGAAACGCGTATTAATCACGTACGATTCGAGTCCTGCGTTCGACGAGTATACACGTCATCTTAAAGTTTCAAACAATACCATTCTTTCAACGACGAATTCTTTATTTTCCCAGATAAACTTGTAATTGTTCATTTCGCTTTGGTTTTCCATTCAAATATACTTCACGTGCATTCGCCCCGCGTTCGACGAGTATACACGTCATCCTAAAGCTCGAGACGATAGTAACTCTTTCAACGACGAATTCTTTACTCCCATTTTGCTCTGGTTTTCCATTAAAATACATCTTACGTGCATTCGTCCTGCGTTCGACGAGTATACACGTCATCCTAAAGCTCGAAACGATAGTAACTCTTTCAACGACGAATTCTTTACTTTCATTTTGCTTCGGTTTTTCATTAAAATATATATATACACATCTCGCCTGCACTCGTCCTGCGCAGTTCGTTCTTTAATTTTATCGCGCGCAGAACGAGAGATTCTTCAAATGAAATTCCACGGTTAACAGATCAATTATTTTTCCCGTAGACCTGGAACGGACGATTAGACGATGGAACGGATGAGACGCAGCAACCGTTAACCGATTCATTCCGGTTCGTGGTATCCTGCACGGCGATACGAAGATTCTTTACCATAACCGACGAAAATATAATAACTCAAGATCAAGGAATTCTCGTGGAACAATCTTTCCGAAGAGTGACGTCGGGATCGCGGACGATTTCGACCACTTTCGGATGCTACCCGCGTTTTTCCATTATGATGATGATGATGAACACTGACCCCGAACCCCGAAAGGACGAGGTCTGCCCGACGTTTTTGCTTGAATTGAAATCAAGTATTCACATAAGTAAGTGCACGGTTATTATTAGATCGTTCACAATTTCACTCACGCGTGCACCTTCACCGACGCATACGCGCGCGCCTAGGTCCACCGGCGCGGCGCGGTGGTTGAAAAACGAGAATTCGCCTTTATGAATGATGTTTCTTCTAGTTTATCGTCATTGTTATTAGCTCTCGATCCTACCATAAATTCATAGTAATTTCCATGCCCTATAACCGCTTGTATTAATGTCTTCGGAATACTGGATTTTATGTTTCTTTTATATTTCATTCGTTTCACGTGGCCACTGCGAGGTGAAGTGTACTGCTGTACTTTTCCTATAAGTTCCTAGCGACACACTGCTAACGTAATGTGCACTGATATGTCAAATACGAATTGATTTCCATCGAATTTTATATTAATTTCTATATTTGATTAGATTGATTTGATTTCTATAATGATCGTTAGAAACTTAGAGGAAAAATACAGCAGTACTAAGGTAATGTGTACTAACATATCAAATACGAATTGACCTCCATCGGATTTTATATTAATTTCTATATTTGATTCTGAATTGATTTCATTTCTATACTGATCGCTAGAAACTTACAGGAAAAGTACAGCAGTACACTGCTAAGGTAATGTGTGCTAATATATCGAATATAGAAATTAATATAAGATTCTATGGAAATAGATTCATATTTGAACAAAGTAAAGAATGTATGTTTGGAAAGATAATTTCGAATTTCTGCAAACTGTACGAGATATAGTTTTGCAAAGGTAAAATCGAATTTATAGAAATTGTAAGAAGTATAGTTAATAACATTGCTAGGTACGTAACATTCAAATCTACTTATTCTACTATATCTGTTTCATTAGAATAATTGAAAATATATTGAATATAAATTCTAATATCGTATTCCTGTGGTTGTAAATAAGTTCAATGGTCAAGTATTCGAATTCAAGACAACTGAATGATATATCAGAATTCATAATTACTGAATGATATATCAGAAAAAATCGAAATAGTTTTGATTAAATAAATGAACTGGCATTTATATTAATTCCATGAACTCGATAAACATTTTCGAAAATACATTTACAACGCCATTAAGAGCTCATAGAAATATCAGCATCAAAGCTATTAAGCAAAAATAATGAAATAATTCAATGTTTGTTTTTAAACTCAATATTAAATTTCTTTCGTTCATCATTTTATTATACAGTTAATTGTACTAAGAACGTAACTGTCATACTATACATAGTGTTTCATAAATTTTCATAAATTCATAAATTAAATTCTTTTAATATACACATATGTCCTTCAAATTCTTTGTTTACATTATACAGCTTTAAATTATAATTCTCATTAAATTGAATGCAAATTTAAATGCTCGCGTTAAAAAACGTACAATATTTTTTAAGGTGCATAAATACCATAAATTGAATGTAGATATAAACGTTCCATTAGCAGTACAAATATGTTAATAATCGTCTGCTGATTTTACTACACTCTCAGTTCTCTCTAGCTTATGAATTAATCGCGGTTTATTTCTGTTATTAACACGTTTCCGCGTTGACGCTATTATTATGTGTGAACCCGACTACTGTTCGTTTCGTACTCCATTATAGGCGTCAGGTGTAGTCTCGACTAACGCAAAAAAAATGTATAAAACTGTCTCGTTACAGCAGGATGCAATCATGTCGTCGAAGTTATTTCTGCAAGGTTAACAATCTAATAAATAAGTATAGAGTAACTAACATTTAGTAGAATATTAGATTCTAAATTTGGTTTAATTTCATTCGAAATGTAGATTTTTAATATTTCTGTAAAAATGAAATATTCTTTTCCATAGATTCATTATATGTATTTTTACAAATATAGAGTAACTAACATTTAGTAGAATATTAGATTCTAAATTTGATTCAATTCCATTTGAAACGTAGATTTTAAACATTTCTATAAAAATGAAATATTCTTTTCCATAGATTCATTATATATATATAGGTCTAGAAAAATTTAGTAGAATATTCCATTCTAAATGTAATTCAATTCCATTTGAAACATAGATTTTAAATATTTCTATAAAAATGAAATATTCTATTCCATAGATTCATTATATATATTTATACACGTCTAGAAAAATTTAGTAGAATATTCCATTCTAAATGTAATTCAATTCCATTTGAAACGTAGATTTTAAACATTTCTATAAAAATGAAATATTCTATTCGACAGATTTATTATATATATTTATACACGTCTAGAAAAATAAGAAACGTGGCTCGTAATTCGACGACTGTCCAGTGGAGCATAATGTTTCGAGTACTTTTGGAAATGTTCTTACTTTCTTACTAATTCTAAGCATGCTCGAGTCTTTTGGTCTTCGGTATGTATTGTATATATATAAATATATGTACGTATATATTATTTCCATCTATGTCTCTTTCGTTTCAGCGAATCTTTACTTTCTGCGGTTCTAAAAACAATTTGTGTTTATTTCCGAAGTTGTTAACATACATTTCTATTATCTACATCTATCATATTTTCCAGTGCGTTTCCTGTTTTCGAGGCCTGCGATCATTTGAATCACAGAAGATGATCTAACCAGATTAGAAAGTGGACATGAATGTAACGATGAGTATCGGTCTTTACATAATGCAGAAATAGAAGAAGAAAAGAATGAACGAGATGTAGAAAATATTCAGTTAGATCTCGCTGGAACCGTATTTCAGAAAGACGATTGATTTTATTATTATAAAGCTTCAATTTCTCATATACTTATCAATATCGTAATAATTAGCGTAAGTAATTTTTTAAGATAAATACAGTCACTTTACAGCTCAGTGATACAGACATATTCAGTAAGTTGAAATATCAAGAAAATTTACGAACCAGTCATTGAAATAACAATATTCTAATTTATTCCTTATTTCTCTATTATACCTCAGAATAACGAATAACTTCTTAACGAAGCAAATAATCACACTATTACTCTCTGAATATTCAAAATTCAACATTCATACTGTCCCACACGAAATCATCGAAATTCTGCACACTCCACTAACCATCAACCAAATATCGTCTAATCTAATGTGAATCAATCAACGAAACTTTCCCTGCTCTCACATTTGACGATAACAAATCATTTCCGTCGCAAACGCGAAACATTCATACCAAAACTAAATATCTCGTATCTAAAGCAACAAGAAAAAAAGAAGGTTCACTCGACGAACGATGATTTAAATAACAAGACAACGTACATTAGTAACAGCAAAAACCTATAGAAACGAATGGATTCTAAATGAAACCTATAATCCACTAATCCACCTACAAGACACTAATTTACTTTAACACGTTCGCTACTTATTTCGATGAC